ATGACCAGGACAAAAATAAAGTAAGAAAATCAACAAAGGGCAATAACTCAAAAAATAAGAAATGCAGAGCATCAGTTCTTATGCACTGCACTTCTTCTTAATGAGATTTATCATCCTATGAAGTTTCAAGTCCATAGCTTTTATACTTTCGGAGAAATGGCCCGGACAAAAGATAAGTATAGAAATTAACAAAGGGCCAAAACTCAAAAAATAAGAAATGCAGAGTACTGATTCTTGTGCACTGCACTTCTTCTTAATGCGATCTATCATCCTGTGAAGTTTCAAGTCCATAGCTTTTATACTTAAGGAGAAATGGCCCGGACAAAATTAAAGTATGAAAATTAATAAAGGGCAATAACTCAAATAATAAGAAATGCAGAGTACCTGTTCTTGTGCACTGCACTTCTTCTTAATGAGATCTATCATCCTATGAAGTTTCAAGTCCATGGCTTTTATACATTAGGAGAAATGGCCCGGACAAAATTAAAGTATGAAAATTAACAAAGGGCAATAACTCAAAAATTAGGAAGTGCAGAGTACCGGTTCTTGTGCACTGCACTTCTTCTTAATGAGATCTATCATCCTATGAAGTTTCAAGTCCATACTTTTTTAGTTGAAGAGAAATGGCCCGGACAAAATTAAAGTATGAAAACTAACAAAGGACAATAACTCAAAAATTAAGAACTGCAGAGTACCGATCCTTGTGCACTGCACTTCGGGTTATTAAAAGAAGCATGCATACCAAGTTTGAAGTCAATCAGACTTATAGTGACTGAGTTATGCTCCGGACAAGCTTTAGGGGACGCCGACACCGACAACGACGCCGCCGACGCCGCCGACAAAAGTAACCCCTATATGTCGCCTTTTCAAGGCGACACAAAAATATAACACAAATGAATCCAATATCTTCAACACAAACTCTAGATAACCTTTAATGCAGGTAAATGTATCGAAAGTTTGACTTTTATTTTCATTCAGTTCTGTATTACTGGAAGGTGGGTTTATTTTAATAATAATAATAATAATAATAATAATAATAATAATAATAACTCAACGAGTTCAATAAATTCAGTGATGAACTTACACGAATTATATATTTTATTTATCACATACCCGTTTAAAGTAAAAAAGAGTCATTTTTCATTGACGGGTCTATAGTATAACGCTAACATTTAACGCGTCTTTACTAAAGACGCGCTAAATGTTAGCGTTATACTATAGATAACTATAGATTACTAGATTACTAAAATTCTGTACTAAATGACATAATTATGTACTTTTATCAGTTTTATTAATTTCTGATTGTGGTGTATATGAAGTACACATGATGAAATGTAAATAAGATATTTGAATTGAATTGAACTGAATTGGCCATGTATGCGAACCCGGCAGCTAAGTCCCGTTCTTAGGGCTTTAAGCCGTGACAAAGGCACGTAACAACAATATCATTGTCCCGTCCCTCATTGACCTCTACGTTACTCCTGCAGCAGAAAAAGCCAGCAGCCTCCTTAGTATTGACTGTCGTTTTGCGCTTTTACTTTTTCTATCTGTTACTATTTGTCATACAAGCTTAATCTGCATTTAAATAGCCGTTCCTATAATGACAAAGGTTGAAATTATGGCACCATAATAATAATAATAATAATAATAAGAAGAAGAACAACAACAACAACAACAGCAACCCATTTTGAACAGTGCAGACCAAGATCAGCCTATCAGCCGTGTGATCATGGTCGGCACTGTTCGCTGATCAATCAGTACATAATTAAGGATTTCACTAAATTGATGAATGGTTTTGTCCCTATAAAGATGGACAGGTCTATTTTAGATATAAAGCGTGGTAATGTTTAAATACAGTAAATTATTTAAAGATAATCCACTGATTTGTGTAATAAATGACTTAATACCACTGTATAATATTTTAACATAAAATTTCATTCAACAGGGATAAAAAGACATAAAATCGAACAACTTTCTACAATCTACAAATAAATAAATAATAATAATAAAACCACCACCACCACCAACAACAACAACAACAAAAATCTCCTCCAATCAAAGTTTTAATAATATTTTCAAAAATATGTTCAAATTTATATTTTTTTATTACTACAACAATTTATCATAATGGACACTGCCTGTACAAAAAGGGATAAAAGGCGCGAAATTTATTATTATCAAACAGCCACCAATAGTCACAAGTCAGAGATGGCGACCAGAGTGGGTAGTTCTATCATTAAAATAACTATTTTACAAAAAAAGACCTTTTACATTCATATTCACATTTATTCATACAACTAAATTCAATACATTTTCTAAAATAATATACTTTTATCAAATAGAAACGTTTAAAAAGAAAAGCGATTAAAGCGACATAATCAAATCAAAGCTAAAGCGTTTAGGTTGGTAGTACTTTAAATATAAAATATAGTAAATATTATTTACTTTGTGGCTGTGAAAGACTTTTGAAAGCATGGGACACTAACGCCGCTGCTGAATACAACGATTGCTATGTTTATTCATATAATCAAATATCATAAAATAAAACTATAATCTTTAATACGCTCATATGTAGAATCGTGTAAATGAAAACAAGAGATTTATACATTTATATAACAGGTCGTAGAGACATTAACAATAGTAACTACATGTTAATCATACTTGTAGCTACATAATGCATTAAATTTCATTTTACAATCAATATCATAAAAGAAAAAAAAATTGATTTTTTTAAATTGTCATTCCTGATTGCACGAGAAGTGTTTTCCCCCACCAAACATATTACTGTCATTTTCACATACGCCTTCCTCTTCTGGTAGCTCTTTCAATTGGTGGATAATACATAACATCCTGCAATTTAACAACACCAATTTTGTATACAAGTTAAACTACTTAAAGGCAACTGCTTTTTTTAACTTGTTTCGTGGTCCGTTAGTTCACACGAAGAAAATTGTTTGTAAATCTTAACATGTTTCGTCTATACAAAAATAAATCTGAAACGAATGAGAATGTATTATACATTAGGATCTAAATTTACAATCGAGAATCTTTGCCGACATAGGAAACCAATGTTCCCCTTTTTCTAAAATTGTTTTAGACGGACAGCGAGTAAGCAGGGATGCGGGGCGGACGGACGTTCTCTTTATTATCCACAAGTACAAGTGTGTACGGAATGAACATGGATATTTCTTTGATCTTTTTTGGTCTTTAAAACCAAATAAGCAAACTATTTCACCCCATCCAAAAAATGCAAGTCGGTACAAAATGAAACAAAGAAATTACTAATAAGATGTAGTGCACACACAAAATGTGTTACTAATTATTTGTTATACACCTAATAAAAAAAGTGAATAACCTAACAATTGTTTCAGAACTTCATCAGAATGGCATATTATATAGTGCTATACTGTGTTTAGTTATACGTAGGTAGGCAAAGTATAACACAAATGATAGCTTCACATACAATTGTAAAGTTCTATCTAAAAATATAACACAAATGAATCCAATATCTTCAACACAAAATCTAGATAACCTTTAATGCAGGTAAATGTATCGAAATTTTGACTTTTATTTTCATTCAGTTCTGTATTACTGGAAGGTGGGTTTATAATAATAATAATAATAATAATAATAATAATAATAATAATAATAATAATAATAATAATTATAATGATAATAATAACTCAACGAGTTCAATAAATTCAGTGATGAACTTACACGAATTTAATATTCTATTTATCACATACCCAAAATAAAGACCGTTTAAAGTAAAAAAAGAGTCTTTTCATTGACGGGTCTATAGTATAACGCTAACATTTAGCGCGTCTTTACAGTTTGTTTGTATAACGCTAATGACGTCACGTCAAAATATATGCACGGCCGTGCAATACCATTTTTACGGAGTCGCCAAATCGGCACGGGTGTGTGATTAAATGACATATGTACTTTTATCAGTTTTATTAATTTCTGATTGTGGTGTTTATGAAGTACATATGATGAAATGTAAATAAGATATTTGAATTGAATTGAACTGAATCGGCCATGTAGGCGAACCCGGCAGCTAAGTCCCGTTCTTAGGGCTTTAAGCCGTGACAAAGGCACGTAACAACGATATCATTGTCCCGTCCCTCATTGACCTCTACGTTACTCCTGCAGCAGAAAAAGCCAGCAGCCTCCTTAGTATTGACTGTCGTTTTGCGCTTTTACTTTTTTCTATCTGTTAATATTTGTCATACAAGCTTAATCTGCATTTAAATAGCCGTTCCTATAATGACAAAGGTTGAAATTATGGCACCATAATAATAATAATAATAATAATAATAATAATAATAATAATAATAATAATGATAATAATAATAATAAAAATAATAATGATAAGAAGAAGAAGAAGAAGAACAACAACCCATTTTGAACAGTGCAGACCAAGATCAGCCTATCAGCCGTGTGATCATGGTCGGCACTGTTCGCTGATCAATCAGTACATAATTAAGGATTTCACTAAATTGATGAATGGTTTTGTCCCTATAAAGATGGACATGTCTATTTTAGATATAAAGCGTGGTAAGGTTTAAATTCAGTAAATTATTTAAAGATAATCCACTGAATTGTGTAATAAATGACTTAATACCACTGTATAATATTTTAACATAAAATTTCATTCAACAGGGATAAAAAGACATAAAATCGAACAACTTTCTACAATCAATCTACAAATAAATAAATAATAATAAAAAAACCACCACCACCAACAACAACAAAAATCTCCTCCAATCAAAGTTTTAATAATATTTTCAAAAATATGTTCAAATATATATTTTTTTTATTGCTACAACAATTTATCACAATCGACACTGCCGGTACAAAAAGGGATAAAGACACGAAATTTATTATATCAAACTACCACCATTAAAATTAATGTTCACGTTCACAAAATAAGGGAAACAATTACTACGGGCTTAAACGCAATTTTCACAACATACAGAGTTATTCTTGATGTAAATGTGCATTGTATATTGATCGTAGAAAAGATGTGATGTTCAGGAAGTAAGTTATTTTAGCTAAAAGTTTATTAATTTCTTTTAACTTATTACCAACTATTAATTGAAATGCATATATTGTCAAACTAAGATCGCACACTGTTAACATTTTACCGTAAAGCACGGAGAAATTTCGTGTCGATTTCAGAAAACGGAAATCGAAACTACATGTTTGTAGTATCGTATAAATAATCTATGTCAGTTTATTTCACTCGTATTAATTGGATATATCATGGAATTTAATTAGATGTAGGATAAAAATATGAATAAAGAAAAATACATTTGTTTGTGCATTATTTAACAGTATCAGCTGGGACATTCCTAGATAAAAGATCGTTATTTTCCAAAAATAAAGAATGACCAGGATTTAGAATTAACTTTATCAAGCGTTTTAGCATTTATTCAGTTTTGATCAAATGCGTGCCTATATAATCTTCTGAATTTAAAATATTGTTGTTTTCGACTTCAGCTTTAAAATGTCGGAAGAAGTACTGGAAGAGGGAACCAATTTAGAACAGATAGAAAATAAAGCTGAAGCACTGAGCAAGGATGGGAATTTAACCATAATTGAAAACACAGAATCGGCCGAAATTGTTAGTTCGTGTGCAAATTCTGACGAATTAAACTGTGATACTGGGATTACAAATACTCCTGAATTAACTGAAAAATCTTCCGCGAAGTTAATGGAAGACAAAGCTATTACTGGCAATGATGGGATTAATGAAAGTACTGAGACAGAATCTTGTGGTGCGAGTGGAGGTTATGTTGGTTCTGAAGAAGAATTCAGCAATCCTTGTCAGCCATGTTTAGAGAATGATAGAAATATTGACTCGTTGTTATACTGTGTCGAGTGTGAAGATTATTTGTGTGAAAAATGTGTGGAAATGCATAGAATGGTTAAACCTACCAAAAAGCATAAACTTGTACCTAAAGAAGTACTAAATAACTGTGGAGATGAGTTGATGATAAACAGAGAAGAGGAATGTCCTATTCATATGAAAGAAGTTATTGAATGGTTTTGTATTTCAGATGATAAGCTATGCTGCAATATATGTAAAGCAACCGAACATAACAAATGTGAAAGTATAGTTGCCATTGCAAGTGTAGCTGAAATAACGAACATTCAATCAATAGTAGAAAAAATAGCAGAAACCCAAGGTCAACTAAAAGATGCAATTGAGAAAAAGAATGTAGATATCACAAACCTAGATGAAGACAGAAACGATTCATTGCAAGTGTTAAAGCAGATCAAACGAGACACCGAAGATACTTTCCAACGATTATTACGTTCTCTGGAGAAAGAAAACAAGAAAGTTGAAAACATATTCAAAAAAGAGAAGAAAAAGTTTTCGGCCGATATAGAAAATTATTCAAGAATAAACAAGGGCTTAAACACAACTCTAACGTTGCTTCAAAAAGAAAACATCTGTCTTGAATACAAATTTATTCAAATGAAAAAGGCAGAACAGCAACTACAAGCAGTTCAGAAAGCAATTTTGATTGCGCCTTCTAGACCGGCATCACATAAAATAGGATATGAGAGAGACAAACAATATGATAAGAATTTGGCCGCTTTTCAAAGATTCGGATTCTTTGACAGTGATAAAAGAACTTACACAAGCTCGGAGTCAAGACGCATAAATATCATACAAGCGAGAGAGAGGCTTCCAACTGTGTTTGACATGTGTGTGGCAGGGAATGACATGATTCTGATAACAGACTGGACCAATGGCTGCATTAAAGCTATTGACACAAACAAGGCAGTGGTATCAAGCACACTTCAAATGTCGTCAAGCCCATTTGGCATCTGTAAACTAGAAGATGGAGCGTTTGTTGTAACAATTACATACCGTCGGAAAGTCAGTATTATAAAGTTCCATCGAAATATACCGGACCGGTTAAAGGAAAGTTCGTCTTTTGAAACTGGAGAATGCTGTCGTGGAATAGCATACAGTAATAAAAGGTTATTTGTGGCATGTGGAGGACAGGATGAGAAAGAAGGGCCGGGTCACATTAGAATGTTTGATACTGAAGGAAATATTTTGAAAACAGTAACGAATGACTCATTTGGAAAAGCAACTGTTGGCTTTCCTTGTAAAATATCATTCCTTTCTGGCGGGACAACTGCACTTATAACAGATGACAACAATTTGATTCATCTCAAATTATCAAAAAAAGATAATTTTAACATCAAAAAGCTAAATACAACAATGCCATCACATACTCACTATGCATCTGTCTGCTTTGACGCGAATGGACATGCTTTGATTGCGGAAACTTCTACAAAATCAATAATGTTACTTTCGAAAGTTTCACTTCTTTTGAACCAGTTGTGACGGGTTTGCAACAATTTCCGTCTGCAATATCATTCGATCACCTGAATTTAAAAATGTATGTCGGGTTTTGGGAATCTGCAGATTTGTTATGTTTTCAGCTGGACAAAAACATGTGGGATAAGCCATCAACTTTCAGCTTAAGACAAAGTAATATTGATCCATGGTTGAAATAAAGAAGATATCAATATAAATCAATATAATGAACATTCAATCATAAATTAAAAGATATTGAAATTTTTACACATAAGTAATGGCCCATAAAAAGAACATAAAATAGTTCCAGAACAGATAATAAAGTATGGTGTTGAAGCAATTTATATTTAATTTCGAATATGAAGATATATGATAATTACTACATCTTCGACAATAAAATGTTTAAATGCTGACGTTAATTTGATGTTTTAACTTTGTACATAAACACTTTTGTAACAGAATGTAAGTGCACGTATATTATTATTTGTACATAATAAATGTTCACATTAAACTAAAGAAACATGATTGTCTTTATATTCCTATCATGTAAAAGAGCTTTATGCGAAAGTAACATTTCATAAATGTTGAGCTGTTGGTTATTAACATTTGTTTTTGGTTCTATTTTAAGGATCAATGAAAATCATTGTGCAAGAGAGTGTTTTAAAAGACAAGTACTTTAATAAGTTTAAGTCAACATTTACATGATGATACTTGCATATGATTAAGTGATAGCATACTCCAAATGATATTACAATGTGAAAGTAAATAATAAACGGTTGTATGATTTGCAAGTAAATTTTGTATAATTGTTTATGATACAAAAGATTGCCGCTTATAAATGTCCATCTTGAACTTATTTTCTTTTGCTTAGGCTTTGAATGAATATTGATAGTTGAAATGAAATAAAGAAAAAAACAAAAACAATAGATATGTTAATGTTTTGTATGTATTATACTAGTAGTGTGGCAAAGTTGTATGCATAACTTTATAAATAACATTATCATATGACCATGATGACTACCAATATCCCCGTATTGCGCTTGACGGACAATAGAAAGTGATGTTCACTGAGGATATTGATCAAAACAAACTACATATACTGTATAACGTTAAAACAAGTGGCGCCAAATTTAACAGTTCACTATTGGAAACCAATAGCCGACCAATTAAAACAACGTTACGTAAAACAAACATAGTTATTTACAGATTCAGATGATGTAAATATGAGACCAGTGGCCAAAACATGCAAATGCCCAAACGGACAATTACATTTTACAGAACATGTAATGTAGACTTATGTGTATAAGTTGCGGGTCGCAACGAGTTTGGTTATGTTAAATATATTAAATTTTTATCCAACATGAGGACAGGACGAATTCTTTTAGGATTTCAGGATTTAATATTAGAGGTAGAAATTAATATTCTATTGACGCAGTTACTGATGGTGAACACGCAACAGCTCTTAAATTACGACAATGTACACTTTTCGTGTTTAGGTGTGCTTTTATTTTGTAGCTCAACATATTGTATGTTGCACCCTCAACCCCCCCCCCCCCCCAAATGCATTAGGCAAAAATATGATAGATTTTAGTCTGTATTATCGGTCTGCAAGCCTTTTTGCAGACAAAAAATAAATTGAGTCTAGGACTATTTCCATGGTAAATAAAGGGCACAGAAAATGACCCACACTTTGCTAAATCTCATTAATTTAAAATATTTCCTGAAATTGCTTGTTTACAAAAAGAAATTGCCCAACATTTATGTTGTTCTAATATTTTACCAGAAGAGAATCGATCATTCCAGTAGGAGGGTAATTCTCAATATTTGGAAACTGACATATTAATCATTAAATAGTTTCACCTTATGATTTTACCTAATAGATAGTATGCGCAATATAAAAATATACAGACAAGTGAAACAAAAATTTCTCTTTGATGCCCCCTTGCACTTAATATATATAATTCTTATACGAACTATGACCTATACTTAAAATAGAATAGAATGTCAAAAATATATACATAAACCTTTTGAGCTTTCCGTCCGCTGAATTAGGGCCTGTTTGCGTGGAAATGAAACCGGACAACTTTGAAAATTTCCCAAATGAAGGATTTTAATGTGGTCATATATGTACAATATAGCACTTATTGCACAAAGACTTTGATGAATATTCAAGTATACTGGTCTTGCTAATGAATGTGATATTCATATCACATTAGCCAGGTCTATACACCCGAATAACCTCTTTATCATACAATAATTGTATAAAAATATATATAAAATAAAGGTGGTACTAAATTATGTCTGTAGTTATCTTAAGCTACAAAAAGATCATTTATCTTGTCGGGGGTTACAGAAAATCAATATTGTTATTTGTTTTAAATACTGATAAAACTTTTCGCCGAAGTACGTGTATATTCTAGATAACGGATAAGTATATCTGAATTATCATGCTTTCAGAAATCGGAAAGCGAAATAATAGTACTATAATAAATAAATGATAAATTAATACAAATACATTTAGAATATAAAATAGATGTGTCTATTATGATAAATGTCCAGTATACCAAAAGAGCGTAAAGGTACAGCATTTCGCTTTAATCAATGAAGTGATGTGTCTTAATCAATTAAGTAATATATCGTTTTGAATAAAAACGTATTTTGCAATATGGTAAATATATTTTACATACACGATTAGTACCAGTTTATTACACTTAGGCGAGCAGGTTTTTTCAGTTGATCGTTAATAAACATGGAGTACCAAATATGTTTGTAGTCTATGTTAAATAAGGGTCCATTCACCCGGAAGGGCACAACAAGCAGCTTTCGCTGTCGAGTACGGACCTCGGACATGTCACCAATCATGCCCTTAAAAGTGAATTTAGAAGGGCAAAGGGCATGTTACCAGTCATGCCTTTAGAATATTAATTTTGAAGGACAAAGTGGTGATAATTTACCTCCATAGATTATTTCTACAGAGTGTTAGCCAAAAATATTATTATGAACCAAATGTAGATCACTGTGAGGCGGTCAGTGAGAACCTAACTGTACAGTGTCCTGATACAATAGGAAAAGGATGGAGCCCTTAAAAGGGCTATTAGTGCCTACACAATGGCCTGCCTTAAAATCGTCTATGTGTGCTAGAGACTCACACGCTCTAAAATAAAATCCTCCTCGCCTCTTTGTTTACATCGTAGGCACATAGGTCAAAACACCGGCAGCTGGTTCGCAGTTCACATTCCGGTCTTTTCTCGCCATCCCAAACATTTCCTGATTACTTTAACAGAAATGTTCGCAGGGTTTTAAATTGTCCAAAGTTTTGTAAAAGTCTGTTATATTTATATTTTAACACTTATTTTCCATTTAAACAAAAATAGCAGTGTTGTGAAAATCTATAAACTAATTTGATTTGAATTCTTTCACAAAGTTTTCATGAACTGTTGTTCATGCATTATATTCCGCAAACGCTGACCTAGAATATAGACGATATGTAATACAAAGTGGAGATACACTTTTTTTAAATATAATACATGTACATTTGTACATGTTAAAACAGAGACAGACGAGGTTTAACGCACGCGTAAAATGGCTGCGAAAAAAATTGTCATCTGTGCACTGAAATGCCACTATGCTCGTACTAGTAGTGCTCGTTTTATACTGTGACAGGAAGAATACACTTATATCATTGTCATATTGTGCCAGAAATTGAAAACCATGTGTCTTATTCATATATTAACAGTGCTGATACGCTCATAATGATTTATCCTAATGCCTTAGACATATATTAATTATATCCTGATTATTCAATATATAAATTTCTAATAAACAAATGACCAGCAATGAAACATCGTCTTTGAGGAGCATAAACATAGTACATTAAACATACATTTATAAGGCAATTGACCAATTACAATAACAAACCACACGTGTGTTTTACTGCATAATGTTGGTAAAGTTTTTGAAACCAGAACTATGACTACAGAGCAATATCCAAATCATCTCACAATTATAATAAATACAGATAGGTAGCTGAACATATATACAAACATATAATTATGAAATTAACAAAACAGGTAAAACAACTTGATATAATATGAACATGTCGTCAAATATTACTGTTAACAGAAATCAACAATCGAGATATCAATATTTACAGTATTTCCGGAAACATTCTCACATTAAAATAAATAAATAGTAGTGATAAAAATGATTGAATAAAGCACAGAAATATCAGCTCTATATTCCAGCTTTAAATGATTTAACCCGTTCTGATTAAGAAACTGGGCTTTATAAAGCATTACCTTCTGTCTAGAATATTAACCTTTAATGTCGAATTTTCAATAGCAAATTTATCGATCAATAAAGTTAAAGGAATTGTGTTTAATATTTGAAAATGGGGTTCAGTCTTTAATGTCAATGTTTATGTCAATTTTCATTGGGTTATCATAAACCCGTACCCTGCTGAAACCCAAAGTCATAGGCTTTGTCATCAATATTAAGCCAGACCAGCCAGCACGTTCATGTTGTTTGACAGTCGGCAGTCTTACTTTCACCTTTGGTCTTGATACTTAAAAAAAAAAATTAAAAATGGCAGGTCCAAAACTTGATGCTGGGCAAGTCTATATCAGAAATTCAGGTTAACAGGTTAAGGATTAAGTTTTACATTACCTATTGTATACATCGGTTTGATTCTTAAGACTTAAAACAGGTGATATGACAGAATAAAATGACACATAAAATGTATATGGGGAAGCACGACAACATCTTGAAATCCTAATATATAATTATCGGACTTGAGTATATTCAAAAGGAACAAATTGTATGTTCATGTATAATGATAAAAAACATATATAGTAAATACCACCTACAACTTTCTCTTGTGAGCTTTCATTTGTTTTTTTAAGGTTTTGAGAAAGAAAAGTGGAAATGAAAGAAATAAAGAAAATATAGTTTTTCCTTTTGTGGTGAATTACAATAATTAAAAAATGAAAGGGATTTAATTATGAGTATAAGTATCTTAAGATAGGTAAAATCATATATTTGATCCCTCTTTTCGCTGAGGTGTTGCCTTTTAAGGTTTGATGAATTGAAATTGCAGCCACCGTTTATACCTATATAATAATAAGAGGCGACTAAATTTAATTGATAAATCGACTTTTAAACTGCATGTCGGGTTATGAGAATCTACAGATTTGTTATGTTTTCAGCTCGAAAAAACATGTGGAGCCATCATCCTTCAGCTAAAGACCAAGTAATTTTGATCCATGATTAAAATAAAATTGGTATCAATATATTGAACAATTTATTTTTAATTAAAATATATTGAAATCTGAACATAAAGATGTTATCAAAAGACACAAGTAAAGGCCAATAAATAGAAACATAAAACAGTTCAAGAGCAGATAATGTAAAATGGCGTTGAAACAATTTATATTCAAATTGGAATAAGGAGAAACGTGAATTTGCGCAATTTAAACAGGAAGTACTTTTGAAACAGATTGTTAGTACATGTATAGTATTATTTTTACATAGTAAATGTTGACATTGAGCTAAAGATTCTTGATTGTTTTCATATTCCTATCATGTAAAGGAGTATTATCTTAAAGTAATATTTCACAAATGTTGAACAGTTGGTTACTAACATTTGATTTTAATTCCATTTTAAGGATCCATGAAAATGATTGTTTATGCAAGATACTAGTGAAAAAGGCAAGCACTTTGATAAGTTTAATTCAACCTATACATGACGATACTTGCATATGACTAAGATATAACATTCTCTAAATGCTGTCACAATGTAAACGTAAATGATAAATGGTTGTATTTTGTATGTTTGTTTATGATAAAATAGAGTGACGCTTATAAATTTCTCTCATGTTCTTCATGACTGTTGCTAAAGCTTTGAATCAATATTGATAGTTGAAATGAAATAAATAAAACACTTGATTTTTTTTTTAAATTTATGTTTTGTACTGGTAGAGTGCATACCTATATAAAAACCATTATTATATGACTACCAATATCCCCGTATTGCGATTGACGGAAATAGAAAGTGATATTCACTTGAGGATATTGATCAAAACAAACTACGTGTACTTTATAACGTCAGAACAATGAAAACCGGCCAATCAAATAGAGAAAAACAAATTTCCTAAAGAAACTCTTACATGACAAAATTGAAAATGTTGCAGGCTCGGTTTGATGAGTCTGTTCAAGGACGGTACTGAAAAGCGAAAGTTACCGTCCACGCGCCCTATCACCGGCTTATACATAATTCAACATATAAACATGAAATGGAAAATTTTGAATTTAGAAACATCATTTCAACTATCAATATCGTATTGAACAACGTGACGTAAAACAAACATCATATGTTACTTACAGAATCAGACAACGCTTGTTTTACTTTCAAAATATGAGTATAAACTAAAAACGTTTTGCTGCGTTTTTATATGAATATTTACCCGCTTTAAAATGCAATCGAATGTCAAAAAGATATAAACAAAAAACGATGCACCAAATAAAATTTGTATTTGGTTGTACAATAAAACAGTTATTGCATAAAGACACAGTCATGTGAATATCCAATTATATCGGTCACCACATAAGCCAGGTGTATATTCTTGTATAATCCCTTCACCATAAAATAATCGTAAAAAAACAAAACAAAATAGAGGTGATGCCAAATTATGTGTATAGTTACAAAATCATCATTTATCTCGTAGGGGTTTACAGGAAAGAAATATTTCTATGTGTTTCAAATACTGATGAAATATTTCACCAAAGTTCATGTATACATATTCTAACTAGTGACTTTTTTCAGTCAGACATTCGATAACAGATCTCCTTATATTTTCAGAAAACGAAAAGCGAAACTAAATGGTAAATTGATACAAATACCAAAGCGGAAGATAAAATGGATGCATCCATCATGATAAGTTTACAGTATGTAAAAAAACGGCGAAAAGGTATAGCATTTCAAAATTTGAAAAAGTTTTCATTGACTGTTCAGTATGCATTATCTTCTGCAACTTTACTAACTGTTAAATAAATTGTATATTTTGACAAACTAAGACCACTCCAGTCGTTTTCAGGAGACGTAAATTGAAACTACAAACCTGTAGTATCATATAAATTACATTCTATGTCAACTTATTTCAGTTGCATTGATAAGATATGTTCATGTATGTGATAAGATGTCGGATAAGTATATGGAAATAGAAAACTACATTTGTTTGGGAATTATTAACAATATCGAGAAAGATAAAAGCTGGGATATACGATAATTTTTATAAAGAATGACCGAGACTTAGCATAAGCTTTAGGCAACGTTTTAGCATTGATTCAGTTTGCTATAACAAATGGATAAAATGCAATGTTATCACTAAAGTTGTGAATTAAAATATTGCTGTTTTTCGACTTCCGCTATAGAATGTCGGATGAAGTAACGGGCGGGGAAACCGATTTAGAAAAGATAGAAAATAATGAAGGAAATTTAAACATAATTGGAAATACAGAGCAGGGCAGAGCGGCAAGTTCGTGTTCAAATTCTGCAACATTTAACAATGATACTGAGATTAAAGATACTCCTGAACTAACTGAATAATCTTCCTCAAAATCAATGGGAGACTCAGATATCACTGGCAATGATGGGATGAATAGTACAGAGACAGAATCTTGTGGTGCGAGTGGAGGTTATGTCGGCTCTGTAAAAGAATTTAGCAATCCTTGTCAGCCATGTTTAGAGAATGATAGAAATATTGACTCATTGTTATACTGTGTCGAGTGTGAAGATTATTTGTGTGAAAAATGTGTAGAAATGCATAGAATGGTTAAACCTACCAAAAAGCATAAACTTGTACCTAAAGATGTACTTAATAACTGTGGAGATGAGTTGATGATAAGAAGAGAAGAGGAATGCCCTATTCATATGAACGAAAGCAAATGAACACAACAAATGTGACAGCATAGTTGCCATTGCAAGCACAGCTGAAACAACGAACACACAGTCAATAGAAGAAAAGATAGCAGAAACACAAAGTAAATTAAACGATGCAATTGAGAAAAGGAATGTAGATATCACAAACCTAGATGAAGATAGAAACGATTCCTTGCAAGTGTTAGAGCAGATCAAAGTAGACACTGAAGACACCTTTCAACGATTATTACGTTCTCTTGAGGCAGAAAACCAGAAGGTTGAAAACATATACAAGAAAGAAAAGGACGAAATTTTGGCCGATATAGAAAATTATTCAAGGATAATAAAGGGCTTAAACACAACTTTAACGTTGCTTCAAAAAGAAAACATCTGTCTTGAATACAAATTTATTCAAATGAAAAAGGCAGAACAGCAAATACAAGCAGTTCAGAAAGCAATTATAGCTGCGCCGTCTAAACCTGTATCACATAAAATCGGATATGAGAGAGATAAACAGTACGATAAGAATTTGGCCGCTTTTCAAAGATTCGGATTTTTTAAAAGTGATAAAAGAACTTACACAAGTTCGGAGTCTAGACGCATAAATATCATACAAAGGCAAGAGAAGGTAGCAACTGTGTTTGACATTTGTGAGGCAGGGGATGACAAGATTCTGATAACAGACTGGATCAATTGCTGCGTCAAAGTTATTGACACAAACAAGGCAGTAGTGTCAAGCACATGCCAAATATCGTCAAACCCATTTGGCATTTGTAAACTAGAAGATGGAGCGTTTGCTGTAACAATCACACACTGTCGGAAAGTCAGTATTATAGAGTTCCATAGAAATATGCCGGACCGCTTAAAGGAAAGATTGTCTTTTGAAACAGGAGAATACTGTCGTGGAATAGCATACAGTAATAAAAAGTTATTTGTGGCATGTGGAGGACGGGATGAGAAAGAAGGGCCGGGTCACATTAGAATGTTTGATACTGAGGGAAATATTTTGAAAACAGTAACGAATGACTCATTTAGAAAAGCAATTGTTGGCTTTCCTTGTAAAATACCATTCCTTCCTGGCGTGACCACTGCACTTATAACAGATGTCAACAATTTGATTCATCTTAATGTCTCAAAAGACGATAAGTTTGACATCAAAAAGCTTAATACCACAATGGCACCACAAACTAAATATGCATCAGTCTGCTTTGACGCGAATGGACATGCTTTGATTGCGGAAACTTCTACAAAATCAATAAAGTTACTTTCGAAAGATTACACTTCTTTTGAACCAGTTGTGACAGGTTTGCAACAATATCCGCTTGCAATATCATTCGATCACCTGAATTTAAAACTGTATGTCGGATTATGGAAATCTGAAGATTTGTTATGTTTTCAGCTGGACAAAAACATATGGGATAAGCCATCAACTTTCAGCTTAAGACCAAGTAATATTGATCCATGATTGAAATAAAGTTGATATCAATAGTGAACAGTCATTAACTGAAATGATATTGAGATGATGTTATCAAAACACACCGGTCTAACATAAACATGAAATTTAATACTATATAATGCTCAATGAAATTATAACTGCATGTCAGTTTCATAGACATTTTATGATTGAAAAAAATACAAAAGTAACATTTATTCATGTCAGACCAACTTCACCATTATAATTATGATTTATATGAATGAAATTGTTTAAATAAATCTCTTTGTGTAGTTATTCATATGTTTTCACAAATATCTAAACTTTCTGACAACGTATATTTTCAAATACTAACAGATATCTTAGACATTGTTTTGATAAAGAGATTATTGCTATATATTAAACCTAATTACCAAAATTGAATTCATATTTTTTTAATGTGGACCTAAAATACACAAACAGCACACATATAATGTTAAATGTACATTCGGACTATAGATTATACGTCATCGTGACTGCAGTTAACTGATGAAGATAAAGATACTGGTCCATAAAAAGGATCATAGATAATATAGAATGTTGTTGTTTTCAAGCTACAAGGCAATAGTTAAAAAACAAATCTTGACTTGATTCGTTGGTTTTGTTGCAGCAATTTATATTCAAATTCGAATAAGAAGATATAATAATTTTCTACATCTCTGAAAAAAATTTAAATGCCGACGTGAATTTGATGTTTAAAAACGTAACATATTTTGTACTACGCATTGCGCAATTATAACCAGGAAGAACTTATGAAACAGATTGTAAGTTCATATATAGTATTATCGTTACATAATAAATGTTGACATTAAGCTAAAGATACTTGATTGTCTTCGTATTCCTACCATGTAAAGGAGCATTGTGTGAAAGTAACATTTCACAAATGTTGAACAGTTGGTTACTAACATTTGATTTTGATTCTATTTTAAGGATCAATGAAAATGATTGTTGATGCAAGATACTTTCGAAAGAAGTCAAATACTTAAGTTAAATTCAACCCATACATAGATGATACTTGCATATGACTAAGATATAGCATTCTCTAAATGCTGTCACAATGTTAACGTAAATAATAAATGGTTGGGTGACATGTAGACAAATTTTGTATGTTTGTTTATGATAAAATAGAGTGACGCTTACGAATTTCTCTCGTGTTCTTCTTGACTGTTGCTAAAGCTTTGAATCAATATTGATAGTTGAAATGAAATTAATAAAACACTTGATTTGTTTATTTTTTGTATGTTTTGTACCGGTAGAGTGCATACCAATATTAATAACATTATTATATGACTTCCAATATCCCCGTATTGCGATTGACGGAAATAGAAATTAATATTCACCTGAGGGTATTGATCAAAACAAAGTACGTGTACTTTAGAACGTCAAAACAATGAAAACCAATAGCCGGCCAATCAAATAGAGAAAAAGAAATTCTTAAATGACAAAATTGAAAATGTTGCAGGCTCGGTTTGATGAGCCTGTTCAAGGACGGTACTGAAAAGCGAAAGTTACCGTCCACGCACCCTAGCACCGGCTTAAGCATAATTCAACATATCAACATGAAATGGAAAAATTTTGAATTTAGAAACATCATTTCAACTATCAATATCGTATTAAACAACGTGAAGTAAAACAAACATCATATGTTATTTACAGATTCAGACAACGTTTGTTTTAATGTAAAAAATATGAGTATAAACTAAAAACATTTTGCTACGTTTTTATATGAACATTTACCTGCTTTAAAATACAATCGAATGTCAAAAAGATATAACCAATGTACCAAATATAATTTGTATTTGGTTATACAATAAAACAGTTATCACAAAAAGACACATGTGAATATCCAATTATATCGGTCACGACATAAGCCAGGTGTATATTCTTGTATAATCACTTCACCATTAAATAATTGTAAAAAAATAATACAAAATAGAGGTGATGCCAAATTATGTGTATAGTCACAAAATGATCATTTATCTCACAGGGGTTTACAGAAAAGAAATAGTTCTATGTGTTTCAAATACTGATAAAATATTTCACCAAAGTACATTATTGTATACATATTCTAACTAGGGACTGTTTACATTAACATATAAATAAATCTGACTCATTATGTTTTCAGAAAACAAAAAGCGAAACAAAAGTACTATAGATAAATGGTAAATTAATACAAATACATAAGCGGAAGATAAAATGGATGCGTTCATCGTATGCAAAAAAAAAAAAACGTCGAAAAGGTATAGCATTTCAAAATTTGAAAAAGTTTTCATGGACTATTCAGTATGCATTATCTTCCGCAAACACTGGCCTAGAATTAAGAAGATATATATATCATAGCGAGTATTTCAGACAAAAAATAAAATTGAATGAACATAATACTTTTGTTAATTTCTTTTTTATTTTTACTAACTATTAAATACAATGCATATTTTTGTCAAACAAAGACCTGTAGTATCATATTAATTACAATCTCAGCCAATGTATTTCACTCGCATTGATAACATAGATCTATGTATGTGATTAGATGTCGGATTAGAATATGGATTGTTTGTGAATTATTTAACAATATCGAGAAAAATAAAAGCTGGGATATACGATTATTTTAATAATGAATGACCTAGATTTAGCATAATCTTTAGGCAACTTTTAAGCATTGATTCAGTTTGCTATGAAAATGGATAACATGCAAGGTAATCACTAAATTTGTGAATAAAAAATATTGCTGTTTTTCGACTTTAGCTATAGAATGTCGGATGAAGTAACGGACAAGGAAACCGATTTAGGACAGATAGAATATAAAACTGAAACACCGAGCAATGAAGGGAATTTAAACATAATTGAAAATATAGAGCAGGGCAGAGTGACAAGTTCGTGTTCAAATTTTGATAAATTAAACTGTGATACTGAGATTAAAGATAATCCTGAATTAACTGAAGAATCTTCCGCGAAATCAATGGAAGACTTATATATCACTGGCAATGATGGGATGAATGAAAGTACTAAGACAGAATCTTATGGTGCGAGTGGAGGTTATGTTGGCTCTGAAGAAGAATCTAATAATCCTTGTCAGCCATGTTTAGAGAATGATAGAAATATTGACTCGTTGTTATACTGTGTCGAGTGTGAAGATTATTTGTGTGAAAAATGTGTGGAAATGCATAGAATGGTTAAACCTACCAAAAAGCATAAACTTGTACCTAAAGATGTACTAAATAACTGTGGAGATGAGTTGATGATAAACAGAGAAGAGGAGTGTCCTATTCATATGAAAGAAGCTATTAAATGGTTTTGTATTTCAGATGATAAGCTATGCTGCAATATATGTAAAGCAACTGAACATAACAAATGTGAAAGTATAGTTGCCATTGCAAGTGTAGCTGAAACAACAAACATGCAATCAATAGAAGAAAAGATAGCAGAAACGCAAAGTAAATTAAACGATGCAATTGAGAAAAAGAATGTAGATATCACAAACCTAGATGGAGATAGAAAAGATTCCTTGCAAGTGTTAGAGCAGATCAAAGTAGACACCGTTGATACCTTTCAACGATTATTACGTTCTTTGGAGAAAGAAAACCAGAAGGTTGAAAATATATACATGAGAGAAAAGAAGCAGATTTCCGCTGATATTGAAAATTGTTTACGGATCATCAAATGCTTAAATACAACTCTGACGTGGCTACGGAAGGAAAACATTTGTGTTGAATACAAATTTATCCAGATGAAGAAAGCATACATGCAAATACAGTCAGTACAGAAAACAATCTTAGATGTGCAGACCAAACCTCTTTCTACCCCGATAGGGTATGAGAGAGACAAACAGTACAGTGTGTATTTGACCGCTTTTGAGAGATTCGGAATTTTTGACAGTGATAAAAGAACTTATACGTGCTCCGAGCCTAGGAGCTTTAGTGTAATACAAGGAAAAGAAACAATTGCGACTGTATTTGACATTTGTGAAGTGAAAACAGACCAATTCCTAATTACAGATTGGTATAATCGTTGTATAAAGCTAATCAACACAAGAAGAGGAACTGTCATATGCATGCTTTAATCGCAGGACAGCCCATTTGGAATATCTAAGTTACAAGAAGGGATGTTTGCTGTAACAATCACTTATTGTCAAAGAGTGCGTCTCATAGAAGTCCGGAAAAACTTACAGGAACAATTAATTGTTATATCGTCCTTTGAAACAGGGGAACACTGTCGTGGAATTTCATTTAGTAATGAAAGGTTATTTGTTGCATGTGGAGGCGACGGTGAAAAAGAAGGTCCAGGCCATATAAAAATGTTTGATATTGAAGGCAGAGTATTGAAAACAATAACAAATGACTCATTTGGAAAAGCAATATTTGACTTTCCCTGTAAAATAAAGTTTCTTCCTGGCGGTACCACAGCGATTGTAACGGATCATAATAATTTGATACAGCTTGATTTCTGCGAAGACAAAATAACTGGAATAAGAAAACTTAATGCAACAATGTCTGCAAAATGCAGATACGCATCGCTTTGTCCTGACAAAACAGATCATGTTATAATTGCTGATACTACTTCAAGATCTGTCAAATTACTGTCAAAAGATTACACTCACTTCGAACCAATCGTAACAGGCTTAAAAAATCTTTCTCGTGCAATATGGTTTGATCATTCGAATCTAAAACTATATGTTGGGTTATATGAATCAACAGAATTGTTATGCTTTCAGCTCGTAGAGAATAAGTGGGAAAAGCCACCAATGTTTGATTAGAGGACAGCTATAGACCAACAGTTGCACATCATTGTAACATTTGAAACAAAACAACAAAAAATATTTATGATAACTAGTAACACATTGAGGTGTAATGAATGATTTATTCATGGTGAAAAAAATAGTAATTGTATGAACGGTATGTCTGAAACCTTTGAGCTATAGATGTAATTTTTATGAAGGGTTTTGTGTTGTTGCTTTTCCCCTCTTCGTATACATTAAACTTAAAAGGCTTAAACAGGTC